CTCCTTCTCCTCCTCCGTCTCCTCCTCCTCCTCCTCCTCCTCCTCCTCCTCCTCCTCCAGTCCCGCCGCCGCCGCAGCCAACATGGCTGCGCTCCTGAGCCCGGGAGGCGGCCGCTGCTGAGCGCCGCCCGCCGCCTGGGCCCCCCCAGCGCGCCCAGGCCCCCGGCCCATGGCCCCCGCTGCCTCACGGCCCCCGGCGCGCTAGGGCTGCAGCCAGGGGCTCTCCGCCCCGAGGCGCCGCGGGGCCGCTCGGGAGCCCGGGAGCCGTCCGGCGGGGCGGGGCGGCCCGCCACCATGGAACCCCAGCGCCGGGAGCTGCTCGCCCAGTGTCAGCAGAGCCTGGCCCAGGCCATGACGGAGGTGGAGGCCGTGCTCGGACTGCTCGAGGCCGCGGGGGCACTGAGCCCCGGCGAGCGGCGGCAGCTGGACGAGGAGGCGGGAGGCACCAAGGCGGAGCTGCTGCTGAAGCTGCTCCTGGCCAAGGAGCGGGACCACTTCCAGGACCTGCGGGCGGCGCTGGAGAAGACGCAGCCTCACCTGCTGCCCATTCTCTACCTGAACGGCGTCGTCGGGCCGCCGCAGCCCGCCGAGGGCGCCGGTGAGTGTCGGACCTCCGCCTTGGCCTCTCCGACCTGCCGTCCACCACTTCTCGCTCCTGTTCTCCGAGGGGGAGCTCGGGAGGGCCACTCTTGTACCTGGCGCTGGCCGCAGGGACAACCTTTCCTCCTTTAGTCGGCCTGGGGAGGGGGCGATGCGCGGACCCCTACTTCACACCTCCTCCCCCAGTCCCGTCGTCGCCTGAACAATGCCAGGCACTGCAGGCCTTGACCCTCCCGGGTGCCACGGCAGCAGGGTCCTCCTGAGACCATCAGGTCCAACCAGGTCCAGCCCCCGGACCACCTCTGTGGGATGTCCGTTAGTCCCCTTTCTAAGGCGCTTCACCATCCACCCGTCCTTGGAGAGGCCTTGCTAGCCTTTAATCAATGATACAACCTAGAAGAATGGAACCTGGGCCAGGTTCGGTACTCTGGAATTTTGGTCTCTGCTACCGGTTTCAGGACCACTAGTGCCTTTTCACTTTCTGGCTCTCTTAGCTCCGTGTGCCCTGAACTCAATCTCTTTGCTCGCTCAGACTTGTGGTTGATTATGCACAATGCCTGCTAGGTTTCTTTGGAAACTGTGGGCCTGGAAAAGTTGGGGAAGTTGCATTGCACCATGGGAAAATCCTAATAGTGGTTGCTGGAGCTCAGATCCCTCCCTGAAGGTGCTGAGCTGTGTGAAGAGAGAAGGTTGGTGGCTGCTTCCCTTGGGGGGTTGTGACAGATTTGTGAGTTTTCCTGCGTGGGGGTTACTGCTGGGGGTTTGTGACAAGCGGTAGGCTTGGACAGGCCTGGTTGAGGAGTGTCGGAAGTCAGCCTTTTAGACAAGAAAGCTCGAGGAAGAAGTCATAGCACTGAGAGAGGAAGAGAACCGGCATTAATTAGGCACCTACTGTTGTGGCAGGCGCTCTGGTTTATCACATTTAATTGTTACTAGTCTGTGAGCTATTATTCTTACTTTGCCAGAGAGAAAACTCCGGCCTGGAGTGGTTGAAATGCTCAAAGTACGGAGCACCAGGAGTTCTTAGTTATGACCTACTGTTTTATTGAACACGTTTGGAACCAGGAATCACCAAGTGCCACTGTTTCTATGGCTTGTCCTTATTTTAAGAATGAACGGAGAGGGCTGACAGACTGCCTTTAGCAACCTGTAGGCCAAAGGCTGATGAGATCTGTTTATATGGCTGTTAAAAGCCTCACTTATTAAGGAAATGATTTTTATAAGCTGTTCCTGGTAACAGCTCCGATGTATATTGGCTGTCTCAACCGCACTTTTTATAGTGAAGGGAACTGACATACAGAGAGACTAAACTGCTGGCCACATTATTTTATTTAAACAGCACATCATTTTATTTGTGGTTCTTTTATCTCCGCTTTGAGTTTCTGACTCTGGCATTTACACCCCTCAAACCTGCATTCTGTCCCGCAATTATGATCATATATCTGAGTTGCTGGGCAAATCCAGTCCACTCCTGGGATGGTGCTTTTGAAGATGCAAAGAAGGGCTTTCAGATATGGCCAAGGGGATAAGGACAGAGGGAAATCTCAGGGTAATTTTTTTCGTTTTAATTGCTTTTATCTTTGTGTCTATTCATTTATCTATCTTTGAAGGAGGAGGTGTATCAGGGAAGCACACAAGTTAGAGTGCAGACTCAAGTCCTTGTTGGGATGTGTTTGAATCAGCGCTAGCTTTAATCTCTGGAATAGATGGGTGAATTGCCATTAATTAGGTTCTCCCTTTTTCCATGCCTGGTGGAGAAGATGGAGCCTCACATCTGAAGTTCTAGGAGCTGAAGTTCTAGGAGCTGGTCCCAACCTCTGAGGAAAGGATGGAATAGAGTTTGGATTTTATCCCCAAGGGCAGTGATTTCAGTCCCTGGTTTTACCACAATGCAGAGTTCTATAGCCTTGCAGAGGCTCATGAAATCCTCAGAAAAATAATTTTCAAGGGGAAGTTAAGTTTATTTTAGTTAATACTTTAGAAAAAAATTAGGGTAGCATTTGGTATGGCAAGATACCATCTGGGGCTTTTGGGGGACAGGAATGATGTGGTATGCAAGTAAATAGTAGAATGTTGAGATCTTTGTAAAGGATGATTTACTGGGCAGTGGTTTTCCAACGTTTTTTTTCTTTTAGCCAGGAAGCTCTTCTCATGGGGCAAAGCTTAGAGCATAAAAGAGCTGCTCTGGTTGAAGGGATGGAAGCACCCGTCTCATCCCCCAGGAGCCAGCACTGCATCCTGCTTCCTTGCTCTCCCCAGTATTTCTACTCCGCATGCAGGTCCACAGCTCTGCCTATAAAGCCGGCCTTAGTGCAAGGCCTTTGTGGGATCCTGAGAGAGGAACCAATTGGCTTCCTAAAGATCTATAGCATCAAGGGGAGGCCCCTTTGTTACCATCTCTACATCCGAGGTGTTCCCTCACCTAGTTCTGGGCTTCCTTGGTGGGCGCAGAATGCCATTCCCTGCCTGGCACTTGTGTGCTGTAGGAGTTTGCTGGGCTTCCACGATGCCTGGCAGCCCCCCACATTGGTCCTGGAACTGGGAGAAAGCTGGCCTAGGTGGAACTGGCCAGGGGAGCACTCCAAACCCAACTGTTTTGCTCATGCTCAGTTAGAGCCCCAGACATTTGTAACCCACCATGTTTAGGCCTGGGGTTATGAAGGTGACTAAGAAAATACAGTGTTATTTTATTTTGGGGCTGGGGGAGTCCTATACCAGGATTCATTGTACATTGCTTTTCAGCATTTTGTATCTTACCGCATGTTTTAACATCTCACTTAATTCTATGGCAACCCCAGTGAGATGAGTTGTGTCTTCCCTGCATTATGCTGGATGCATGCCCCCATCTGTGAGGTGTGAGGACAGGCCAGTATAGGGCAGAAAGAAGCTGGAATGAGGTGTAGCACAGTGCTCCTGATTCCTTGTTGGGTGCTTTTTCCTGTTACCTGATTAGGCCCTCCCACTGCAATTTCAGGCCATTTCCAGCATTGGGAACTCTGTGGCATTATGTAGCCTTTGCTTGTCCCTGTGCATGGATCTGTAAGGAAGAAGTGATCACCTCTGCCCCTGCTGGTGGTAGAGATAGAACTGTTGTTTTCCTGTGAGGGGCCCAGGCCTCTAGGGTTTTTTCCACAGTTGTACCAGGATCTTGTTTGTTCACTCAGAGCCCGCATAGTCCTTTGTTTTTTCTCTTGGATTCTCTGACTAGTTCCTAACATCTGGGTTTTCTCACTGAAGCTCTTTGACTGCTTGGACCTGGAGTGAGGGCCCATGCCTGGCCTTGAACCTCAGTAACCTTATCTGTGAGATGGGGCTAAGGGTGCTACACTGCCTACCTCAGCCACTGGGAGGGCAGAATGTGATCGGGGAGGACCGAAGTGCCTGGTCCTGTGCTCGGTCCAGGTGGGACCAGGATGCAGACAGAGACAGGGGTGCGTAGGATGTAATTCCAGCCTGCAGCTTGCTGCCTAGTTGGGGGAATGGGACACTCAGGAGAGTGACATTATGAGACAGATCAATTGAATGATATAAATACAAGCAGGCATTTTCCTCCTTTTAAAACTCTGTATACTACATGCTTTCCGCAAATACTCTTATCCACCCCTATGGGGCTTTAATTACCAAACCAGTTCCCCCAGGCTTCTCTTGTGGGGCAGAAGTTGCAGAGCTTGGTGATTGGCCCCTGACCCTCTCTAGAGTGTGCTCAGAGCTGAATGTATCCTTCTTGTTGCCTCTGTGCCTCCTCTTCAGTTTCCTATTGAGCTGGCTGACATAGCTTCACCAGAGTTAAGAGAATGGAGAGGCAGCGTCTGCTGGGGAGGCTGGGGGAGGCTTCGTGGAGGGACAGGGGCTTGAGCTGGGTGTTGAAAGGGTACTGTGAACGTGCAGAGGGAAAGGAGGAGGGTGCTCTGGGCCGTAGACACAAGAGCAGGGCCCTGGCCATGAGATGAGCTGTGTGTTTTCAGGTTGCAGAAATTAGACCAGCCTCAGTGGAGTGGGGGATTGGCATTGGCTCTGGATGGATAGGGGTGCAAAGGTAATCTGGGAGACCATGATGGCAAGGTTGAGAGAGGGGTTTGGATGACTCTTGGAATTTAGGCATTGTATGCTTGTCAGAAGTTATAGCCAGAGGAATTTTTTTTTAAAGGAATAACCCTGCCAGGCTTTTTCCAGCAGGAGGAGTGCAGTTGGCTACTGATAGTCAGGTGTGGATTATTTATTATTCATTAGAGGTTACCTGGGCCTTTTGTTATCTCCCTACTCTCTTTGGGTACCAGCTACCTTTTCTTCATCCACTCTGCTCTGGAGGGTCAGCAGGGACAGATACATAAGTACAAGCAAGCTCCAACGATTATAATAGTTTTTCTTTTGGTTCTTTTAATTGTGTTATTTGAGAGGATGTAATGGAGGAACTTGAAAGTAATAGTTGAGAAGAGTTTTCTAAGAGAAAGGCAGATTTTATTTCTATCCCTCTGTGTATTGGTTCAGGGTGCCTTTATTATAAGTGACAGAAACTTAGATTGTATTAGGCAGAAAAAAGACATTTATTATATAATATTCTAAAGCCTTGGTATGGTTTGGGGAAACTGGCCTTTGGATAATTGATCCTGAATGCTGCAGTCTTTTCTCTTGGGCCTGGAACATGGTTTTGGGCCTCTGGCTTCTATCTTCACAGTCCCTGACCAAAGAATAAAGGGAGCTCTATCCAGTTAGCCCAGGCAGCGAAATCTCATGGAAGGATTCTGATTGGCCAGACTAGGGTTATGTGTCCCTGTGAGGTTCAATCACTGGCCAGGGCTAGAGGACTAAGATTGGCTCATCAGTGGACCCAGCCAATAGGGTTGGGTGATAGAATGCTGTGATTGAGGTCTCATACCAGTACCATATGGTTCTTTAGAGTGGGGAGAAGCAGTTTTCCAAAAGAAGAACAGGAAGGATGTTATGCAGGTAAAACAGCAGGTCAATGTCCATGACATGTGGTCTCATCTTTGTGTGATG